TAGTGGTGTCCCCCAAGGGTCAGTCCTGGGACCAATCCTTTTCAACTTATTCATAAATGATCTGGAGAAAGAGGTAAACAGTGAGGTGGTAAAGTTTGCGGATGATACCAAACTGCTTAGGATAGTCAAGACTGTGAGGGACTCCAAGAAGATCACACCAAACTGAGTGATTGGGCAACAAAATGGCAAATGAAATTTAATGTGGATAAGTGTAACGTAATGCACATCGGGAAAAATAACCCCAACTATACGTACAATATGAAGGGAGCTAATTTGGCTACGACAACTCAGGAAAGAGATCTTGGAGTTATTGTGGATAGTTCTCTGAAAACTTCCACACAGTGTGCAGCGGCAGTCAAAAAGGCAAATGGGATGCTAGGAATTATTAAGAAAGGGATAGAAAATAAGACAAAGAATATCTTACTGCCCCTGTGGTACGCCCACATCTTGAATACTGTGTACAGATGTGGTCTCCTCACCTCAAAAAAGATATTTTGGCCTTGGAAAGGGTTCAGAAAAGGGCAACTAAAATGATTAGGGGTTTGGAACGGGTCCCATATGAAGAGAGGCTAAAGCAGCTGGGACTTTTCAGCTTAGAAAAGAGGAGACTAAGGGGGGATATGATAGAGGTCTATAAAATCACGAGTGGTGTGGAGAGGGCGGATAAAGAAAAGTTATTTATTAGTTCCCATAATAGAAGAACTAGAGGACACCAAATGAAATTAATGGGTAGCAGGTTGAAAACTTATAAAAGAAAGTTCTTCACACAGCATGTAGTCAACCTGTGGAACTCCTTGCCAGAGGAGGCTGTGAAGGCTAGGACTATAACAGAGTTTAAAGAGAAGCTAGATAATTTCCTGGAGGTTAGGTCCATAAAAAGCTATTAGCCAGGGGATAGAAATGGTGTCCTTGGCCTCTGTTTGTCAGAGGCTGGAGAAGGATGGCAGGAGATAAATCTCTTGATCATTGTCTTCGGTCCACCCTCTCTGGGGTACCAGGTGCTGGCCACTGTCAGCAGACAGGCTACTGGGCTAGATGGACCTTTAGTCTGACCAGAACGGCCGTTTTTATGTTCCTTTGTTCAAATAAGCTGTGAGCTGCAGACCACAGGAAGTGTGCAAAAATATGTTCTTCTGTGACCTTAGAAAGTATAGTAAGAAGTGACAGACTGCCACATATAGTCTTCCCATCTTCTAATTATGCCCTTAGTGATGCCCCTTTAACAGTATTTGCCTTCACTAGTATGTTATATATGACATTGATAACATAATCTGAAATCAGTGGGGTTATACAAGTTGTGTCTCTGAAGGCATAATTTAGTTTACAGAATTTCTATCACTGCTAATGCTGAGCAAGATGGGGAGAGAACTCAGGTTGAGTTTGCAGAGAGAGTGACTAGAAATATCATTTTTCCATATTTGTGCTCAGACTTAAAATCAGCAACATAGAACTTAAAAAAATTTTTTTTGTTGATTTTTATATAGCTTGGTATGGACTTAGCTCTTGATAATCGGGATTTAAAATTGTTCTGGTCTGTGTAATTTGTAAAGTTCTATATATAGGTAAACTAAGTTAAATTTGCATTTTAGGCTTTTTTGTTGCCTTCCTCTGATATATCTGCAACACGAAAAGTGATTAAGGTATATAGAAAGTGGATATTGCAAGACAAGCCTGTGTTCATGGAAGAACCAGATAAACCAAACAATCAAGATGATGTGTCCAATTTGGAACATACAGAGACAGATTGCAAACATGTATGGTACTACTCACGTATTTTACTCTTTGTCTTCAATCCTTTTTCATAAAATTGTTTTTTTAATTATACTTATTTACTTTGGCACCTTTTTATTTCTTTAGGTCCAGATTTTCAAATGTGCTGAGTACCCAGCAGCACTCAACCATTAGTGACTCTGGGTGCTAAGCTGTTTTGGAAATCTGACCTTTAATTATTCTTTTAACTCTGTGTAAATGTCATTTTGAATGGACTTGATGGAACAAATAGTGTTCCATTATGCAATATTGAATTGTTCAGTCTACTAGTTTAGTATTTCCTGTTTGCATTAATATTTGTTTCCTTTTGACAAATACGTTAGTATGAGTATACATTAAAACAGTTAAAAGTACAAATATTTGATTATCTTTAAATCCATCATAAAATCTTGATTAAGGATTTGCAAATATTCCATCAGTTTTATGATATGGACCCTGCGTCTTGACACCTTGAATTTTGGGAAGTTCCAACTCAGATCTAAACTTTGTGGTTTGGGTCCTCATTTCTTAATATATTGAGCCAGAAGTATATTCCCTAATTGATTATCTTTCTGAGGTTTTGTTATTTTAAAAGGGTATTTCTGTGCATGGGGGAACAAGAGTTAGAATACTTATAGTACCAATATTTGCTTAGGCTGCTTTATAGAAAGCTTAAAATTCAGCTAAGATTTTTTTATTTATATATAAAAAAATTAAAAGGTAGAAATTACACAGCTATGAATGAGCTATGAAAAGTATTATGAAGTATTTGAAAGTAATGTGGTCTATCCTTATATGTTATACAAATTAGATCACTGAATAAAAGTAACTATTAATTAATGGCTATGCAAATGAGTACAGAACCTATGAGTGTTGAAAGGTTTTTTTTTAAAGCTTTTATGTGAAATATATATATATATTTACTATCATGTGTTTTTGAAAGCTTGCCTCTGGTCATTCGGGACATAAAAGATCTTCCAGTTGGGGAAGAACTTATTCCTTCTCTAATGCTGTTAGCAGAGGATGTATACTAGAAGATGAAGACAAGAATGTTAAGGCTGGTGCTCAGGCTGCATTACAGGTATAGTATATGGAGAAAACATTAGGTTGTTAATTTAAAAAATAAATTTGAAACTATTCCATTAAATTGTTTGTGAAGTCAACGGAAGGGACATGTTTTCAAAGATGATAAATTAATGTAAGGTTTCCAACTGCTGTATTAATGTTTGCAAAACAGTTTCCATTCTTTGCCAATTTTACATGCTTAAACTTTCTGAAGTAGTCACCAAATCTTTTGAGTGTTTGATAGTTCCTTAAATATTATTTAATAATTATATATTATATAGTATCTCTTTATTTGTACTTGTGTACTTAGTTCAGATTATAATCATACTATTAATATTAAGAAATGGAAATGTGTGTGTCAGTTTGCTTCTCCCCAAAATTCTATCCTTCCAAACTGTTGTTTTTTTATATTGCTCTCCCACTATATACCAAACATCTAAACTGAAAATATGTATCATTATGGATTTTTCAGAGGATATGAATAATAAAATCCCTGGTGATCTTAAGAATAATATGTTGTTGTTAGCATGATAAGCAGCATAGGACATACATTTTCATGTAGCACAAGTAATTGAGAGAAAGCTTTATTACTTTCTCTCTCTTGCCTGAATTGTTTGGATGCATGCAATTGCACTGTTCTTACTCCAGCTGATCTTAGTCTCTTCATATTATGTTTTGCATATCTGACTATATAACTGAAATGACACAGGTTTCATAAGGGCGCAGTGGTCAGTCACATGTATGGTTTAGGGATCATACAGGTAGGATTAGCAAAAGTAATAGCTGTGAACTGGGCACCTTGTAATATCCATAGAAAGGAGGTAGCGGTTGCTCAAAATATGAACTTTTTTTCTCATTTCTTTGCAGAAATACTTGATAGGGAAAGCAAAAGATTCAATCAGGCACATTAATATTGCTAGTATATATATAAGCCAAGATGATCAGCCAAGAAACAGTTATGGCAGAGGAAGGTCACAGAGCTAGCTACCTAGAAATTAAAGAAAAATCTACTTGTAATGTCAACAATCAGGAGATGACATTCTAAGCTCAACAACAGACTAGCTGAGCAGGTAAAATGCACTTCAGTAATAAGCAGTTCAACTGAGAGATTTTCGAATGCCAAAGAACACATTAAAGAACACCAAAGACAGACAATTATACATGAGTAGTAATGCAATTTACCTTAGCTTTTAATCCTAACTAAGATTGTCGATTAATAACAGTTAGCTCATGCACTTAACTCATGCACTGTTAAACAATAGAACAAGAATTAAAATTTATTAAATATTTTGATGTTTTTTCTACGCTTGGAAATATATCGATTTCTATTACAACACAAAATAAAAAGTATACAGAACTCATTTTATTTTTTTAAATAGAAGTTTACACTTTAAATTGATAAACAAAAGAAATAGTATTTTTCAGTCAACTTTATGGAGGTATTGTAGAGCAGCCACTTCATTGTAAAAATCTAATTTACAAATATAGATTTATTTTTGTTAAATAACTGCACTCAAAAGCAAAACAATATGAAACTTTAGAGCCTACAGTCCACTCAGTTCTACTTCTTACTCAGCCAGTTGCAAAGACAAACAAGTTTTTTTACATTTTCAGGAGATACTGTTGCCTGCTTCTTATTTACAGTATAACCTGAAAGATTAGAACAGGTGTTCTCATGGCATTTCTTTAGCTGGTGTTGTAAGGTATTTGCATGCCAAATATGCTAAACATTGATATGCCCTTTCAAGTTTTAGCCATTATTCCAGTGGCTATGCTTCCATGCTGATGATGCTTGTTTAAAAAACATGCTAATTAAATTTGTGAATGAACTCCTGGGGGAGGGGAGGAGGGCAAGAATTGTATGTCTCCTGTTTTTGTTTTACCCTCATTGTGCCGTGTATTTCATGTGGTAGCTGTCTTGGATGATGCCTAGCCATGTTTGTTTTAAAAACACTTTCACATCATATTTGACAAATGCAAAGGAAGTACCTGTGACTGTGTGCCCCCATATTTTTCATGGAAATGTGTTTTTTGAATATGATTATGCATCACTTGAATGTGCTTTATGGAAAATGAGGCAAGTAACCGATCATTCAGGAGATTGTAAACTCCTAAATTTGCATGTTCTATTTGTGTGTATGTATCATTCTTATATGTGAAATTAGAAATGTAAAGTGCAAACCTGTTGATTCTAGCTCTTCTTATGAAGGTCACTAGTGGTACTCAAGGATCTTAATGGCCTGGTGTACAAGTCCAGGATCTGTAGATAGTTTTGTGTTTCTTGTAAGTCTAAATTGTGGTTGGTCCTACTAAGACATGTTACCATGCCACCTGGTGCTGGAATCCATCTTGAATTTGGTATTTTTCCATTGGTTGAGGGAATGGGACAAAGACTTTCCGCCCGGGGGAAAACACTGTTTAAAGATGGGAAGCAAACAACTGTCTTCAGTTTCTTTACCGAAAACTCCCCATCACAAGAGGACACATTAAAGGACCTGGAAAGAAAAGAACTCTAATAATGGGAAGTCTCAGAGGGATAGCTGTGTTAGTCTGTAACTTTAAAAAAAGAGTAATCCTGTAGCAACTTAGAGACGAATATATATATATATTGTGTATCATGAGCTTTTTGTGGGCAAAACCCACTTCCTCAGATGAGCAGAGGTTTACAGTGATTACCTTTACTACCACCCCATGCCTAGGTTCCTGGTGGTGGTGGTGGTGCTGGTCAACCAGAAAGAGAGGCAGGGGTAACCCAGGGCAGCACCCAAGAAGGAAAAACTCCGGGACTGGACTCCCTTGGTCGAAAGATTTATTCATTGAGCAGTTTACAATTACGGGTGGCTAGCCACCAAGTTCTCCTTAGCTCCTACAACTTGTGGCAGGTCATGACTAAGATTGAGGAAGTGCTCCCAGAGGATGGATTTCAAAGCCCTCCTGGAAGAAGGGATTGTGGTGGCTAAGGCTTGTACTAGGTGGATTGAAAAATACTATTTCTTTGGGGCGGGAGGGCTAGAATGCAAATATTTGTAATAAAAATCAATATAAAATGAGTACTGTATATTTTGTATTGTGCTGTAAACGAAATTAATATATTTGAAAATGTTGAAAACATGCAGAATATTTAAATATGTAGTATTCTGTTGTTTAACAGTGAGCTTTAATCATGATTAATTTTTTCAATCACTTGACAGCCCTAATCCAAATCATAGATTTCTAGCCCATGGAACTATGTTTTGTTTTTCATGGGGAAGCATAATTAGGTGATAAAGGAACTCCATACATCAACTTTTTTTTCCTTTGAACTCTATTAAAAAAAAGTGTAACGAAAGTGTACAGTAACTCTAATTACAGGATGGACCTCTCTAGTCCAGCATCCTCGGGACTTGATTTTTCCTGAACGAGAGAATTTGTCAGACCAGAGGAGATAAATTCTGGGTCACCTGCCTGGCTCTGCTGCCTGATCCCCAGACTTGCCACTGCCGCCTGCGCCACGCAGGGCTCTCGGCCACTGGTCCTTCTGGAACAGTCATCCCTGGATGAGCTGCTGTCTCCAGTTGGACTCCCTGCCCTGGCACCACCACCCCAGGAAAACTGCCAGCCCACTTCTGTTTCCATCTGGACTCCCAGCACCATCAGCCCAGCAGGGCTGCCATCCCCAGCTGGATTTGTGGCCGCACTGATGCCAGCTCCACTGCAGCTGCCATTCCTAGCCAGGACTCCCGACCCTGGTGGTGCCACCCCTGCAGGGCTACCAGCCCCAGTGGGACTCACTGCCCTGGCCAGGCTACTGCTAGCCCCACTGCGGCTGCCACCGACCCTGCTGCATTTGTTTATCCCCACATTACTGGAATCCTGGCTCCAGCACCACCACTACACCACTCTTGATGCCACCGCCCTGTCAGAGCTCCCAGCCGCAAGCCCTCTTGTGCCCTTCTCACAGCCATAGGGGCTCACTGGCCCAGGAATATTCATGGTCCTGCTGTGCCATGGATATTGCTGTGCCAGAGCGTCCCAGTTTTTAGAGGTTCAGCCTGAACTGTGGGTTAGCTTTTGAGACTTTCTGGTGTCCTATGTATCTTGCAATAATTAACCTGCTTAAGTGATGAAAGAGATTTTCTGCTACCATCCTTTTATTCCAGTTTTAAAATTCTGTCTTTGTCTTTTGAGAAAATGATCCTAGTTAATGGTCCTCCAACTTAAATTAAGGTCAGTAGGAGTCCATTCATTAACCTTATCTTGGGTTGGACTCTAAAAGAGAATTTTCAAATTAAGTGGTCAGAATGCATTTACATGCCAGGAAACACTAGGTACCTTTTCTTGCCATGCAAAAAATAGAGTTCCTGTTAATGCAAACAAGAATTCTAGATTTTTTGAAGGACATCTTGGATCATGCTCCTTTTGTTTGTGTTCTTGGATGGCAGCAAACAACTGCTACACGAGTTTAACATTTTCATGGGTTCCCTTGTGAATAATTTCACTTCTTGCATATTAACTGTGTGTTCCTGTCTTGGAGAACCTGACACCAGTTTTAGATATACTTTAAACTAGACACTTTTTCTATACTGCTGGAATTGAGAATTACTCAGAAAGCTATGCATTTGCCAGCTTTAGCTATAATAGCAGACATAACATGCCTCTCTTTGAGATAGTGTGGGAGAACCGAAAGAAAATATAATATATCCTTCTGTAAGGAAAGATGAGGGTTTGGTTAGAAGAGAAAAACATACATGTTTTTAAACTTAATCTTTAGTCTTGTTTGATGCTGTGGAAATTAGTTTTTTCTAATTAAAACACTCTGTTTTCAAGGTGTTTTTAACAAACTCTGCAAATGTGTTTTTATTGGAACCATGTACTGAAGTCCCTGCACTTCTGAAAGAGCAAGTTGATGCTTGCAAAGCCGTTTTGAGTATATTTAGGCGCATGATAATGGAACTTTCAATGAATAAAAAGACATGGTAAGTTTTGTGTGTATCATAAGAATTTAGATTGAATAAATTAATAGTATAACCTTTTAGAATTTTAAGACCAAATAATTGAAAAAAAGATGAGGGAATTTCAATAACATTTTAGGTTTTTTTAATGTTTCCTTTTGTGACATTGTAAGAACTATGAGTGTAGTTATTTTATAACACAGCTCATGATTCCATTGGGGGCAAAGTTCCTAAAATACTGAATATAAGAGATTTTTGTTTATAGTTATTTTGCTTGTGTAATCTTCCATTGTACTATTTTTAGCTCAAACTTGATTATTGTGCAAACCAAATTTTCAACTTTTAAAAATACAGTTTAGTCACACCTTGAAATGCTTAGTGTAGATAAATTAAAAACTACTTTAAGAAAGTTTGTCTTTGAAAGTGATGTCCCTGTAGGTGCTCCACATTAGGTTGGTGTGCTGCTGCCAAGCCTCAGAGTGGAGATTTTATAGCAGCATCCCTGCAGCTGCGCACGAACCCTTATGCCCCCTGCTCCTCAGTTCCTTCTCTACTACCTCTGGTTACTGATGGACTCAGCAGTACTCCCTAGCACTTTGCGTTTATATGATTACACTTCTTGAAAACCAGTTAAATTCATTATAGGAGTTAAGTAGTGAGTTTAAATAGTTAATTAGTTCGTTAGTTTAAAAAAAATCTAGATTAGTATAAGGGGTTTTTCTTTTTTCTCCCAGTTAATCCCTTTCTGCAGTCTGATTTCTTCCATAGGCATGCCTGGCTCACTGTTGTTTAAGCGACGTACCCCATGTAAAGACCCTATCCTGATATCGGATGGTCACTCACAATGTGTCTGCTGCCTCAGAGAGCAGCATAACTCTCAGAAATGCCCTCAGTTGTGCAAAGCTAAAATCGAAGGTGCGGAAAGACAGAGACCACTGCCTCAAGTTATTTTTATTGGAAAACTCACTTAGATGAGCGGCTGATCCAGGCCAGCAGCCCGAGTAACTCAAATAGTGAGGATCCAAAAAGTCTGCCAAAAAGTGAGCCGCCTCAGCACCTCAAGCACAACAGCGGATACACTCAGCAGAACCCTCCCGACCAAACAGGAGTGGCAAATGACCCCGCACATATTGCAGGACATCTGCCTGTGGGGGTCACCCGACCATAGACTTGTTTGTCATGCAATCCAACACGAAATGCCCCCTATTCTGTTCCAGGGTGGGCATAGGCAAGGGATCAGTGGGAGATGCCTTCCTCATCGCATGGACATCACATCTATTCTATGCGTTTCCTCCTATACCCCTATTGAACAGAGTGGTTCACAAGATGAGGTACAGGGCCCATTTTATACTTCTAGCTCCAGCATGGCCATGCCACCCATGATTCCTCTTCCTAGTGACGATGTCTCGCGCCCCACCGATCCACTTACCTTGCATTAGGGATCTCCTTCGTTACCTGGGCTCCCACGACGGCCAACCGAACCTCCACTCACTACACCTGAAGGCGTGGCTCCTGGATGGTTCTCTGACTTAGGGTTGACTTGCTCACAACAAGTGCAAACAGTCCTTCTATACAGTAGGGCACAGAGCACCCACAAGATTTGTCTTCAGAAATAGAAAAGATTCTCGATATGGTGTGTACGTCACCAGCTGGTTCTTTCAACATCCTCCTTACCTACCATCCTCGACTATATTCTGCACCTTAAACAAGCGGGCCTCGCAATAAACTCCATTAAAGTTCACCTTGCTGCTATTACTACGTTCCACTCTAAGATAGACAACTTGTCCATATTTGCTCATCCACTCACCAAGAGGTTCTTAAAGGGTCTGCAGGCACTTTATCCAGATATCAATCCACCAATGCAACTGTGGAACCTGCATTTATTATTGAATACTGTAACTAGGCTGCCTTTTGAGCCAATAGTGACCACCTCATTATTACACTCGTCCATAAAAACAGTTTTCCTTGTAGCTATTACCTCAGCCAGACAGATAAGAGAGATTGCAGCCCTAATGGCAGATCCCCCATACACCATCTTTTTTGAAGACAAGGTCACGTTACATACCCATCCCAAATTCCTCCCCAAAGTACACTCATCCTTCCACATCAGTCAGACAATATACCTTCCCACCTTCTTCCCCAAACAACACACCAGCTCTTTTGAGATGGAAAATGCATACCCTTGACCTGTTCAGAGCGCTCTCATTTTACCTGCAGCGACGAAAACCGTTCCAGGTGTCTCCCAGACTCTTTGTTTCAATAGAAAATTACAATAAGGGCCAGGCCATCTCATCACAGAGACTCTCCCACTGGATCTCAGATTACATCAAATTTTGCTACACACAGTCGGACGTGCCGCCTCCAGATAACATAAGGGCACACTCAACCAAAGCCGTGGCTACCTCGATAGCATTCCTCCGCAAAGTATCCATAAGAGACATCTGTGCAGCTGCCACAGGGTCCTCCGACCACACATTTGCAAATCACTACGTGCTTATGCAGGGACCACTTTCCAACCTGAAACTAGCTAAGGCAGTTCTTTCCACCGCTTTTCTGCCAGATCCGAAGTCTCTACCTCCCTCAAAGGAAATAGGTTTGTAGTCACCTAATGTGGAGCACCCACGGTGACATCTCTTGAAGAAAAGGATGTTACTCACCTCGATAGTAACTGACATTCTTTGAGATGTGTGTCCCTGTGGGTGCTCCAAAACCCTTTCTTCCTCCCCTCTACTTCAGGATCCTGGCCTTCTCAAGCCATGGTTTCGGGGTAGAGAAGGAACTGAAGAGTGGGCAGGGGTGCTCATGCATGCACAGGGCCTGCAGCCTAACAGTGCACGGTTGCTAGTGCGTGCGTGTGTGGCCCCAGTGACACTGCTATGAAATCTCCACTCTGAGGCTTGGCAGCGGCACACCAGCCTAATGTGGAGCACCCACAGGGACCACCCATAAGACTTACCTTCAGTAACGGAAAAGATTCTCCATATGATGCGTAGATTACCACATCGTACCCTCAACCATCCTCCTTACCTATCATCCTCGATTTCCTACTGCCCTTGAACAAGTGGCCCTTGCTATGAGTTCCATCAATGTTCACCTTGCTGCTATAACTATCTTTTGCCTTAAGATAGCTAATTCGTTGATATTTGCATATCCACTCACTAAGAGGTTTTTATAAGGCCTTCATGCACTTTATCCATATACCACCCCACCAACACAACTGTGGGATCTACCTCTTGTACTGAACACTCTAACATGGCCACTGTTCAAGCCAATGGCCTCTTCTCTCTCCTGCACTTATCCATGAAGACCACCTTTCTTGTAGCCATTACCTTGGCAAGGTGGGTGGAAGAAATTTCAGCCTTAATAGCAGAGCCCCTATACGCTACCTTTTTTAAAGACAAGGTCACTTTAAGTACCCACTCCAGTTTCCTCCCCAAGATATGGTCATTCTTCCTTTTCAGTCAGACAGTACACCTTCCTACCTTCTTTCCCAAACTGCACATCAACTCCTGTGAAATGAAGGTGCACACCTGTGACTTATGCAGAGCATTTTGCTTCTATCTACAATGCACTAGACCGTTTAGGTCCTTCCCAAGACTGTTCGTATCTATAGCAAACCACAGCAAGTGTCAGGCTGTCTCATCACAAAGACTGTCCCACTGGATTTCAGATCGTATTAGACTCTATTAGATCATGAGCGTTCGTGGATAAAACCCACTTCATCAGATGAGTTGTAGTGAAAATAACAGAATCCAAGGTGAATATGTAACAGCAAAAGCAGTTACCTCTCAATTGTAGGACCCATGTTACTGAAGCTAATTGAGAAGGCTGGATATGTCCCATTTGTAACTTTTGATGTGAAAATGTGAATGTCAGAAGCAAGGTAAATTGGCTTTGTAGTTCTTTAACTAGTTACGATCTTTATTTAAGTGTGGGTTGACAGTGTCAAGTTTGTAAATTAATTCCAGTTAAGCAGTCTTTCACTGTAATGGATGGTGAAATTCCTTTGTAGAAAAATGTACTTTTTACTTTTTAATTTTATTATAGGCAGGTTAAATCAGCCAAATCCAAAACCAAGCACTCAAAAGGAAATGCCAGAATTATTGTGCAACCTTAGTTCTGCCTCCTTAGTTTGTGTGCTTTGTCATGTATGGTCTTACCAGATTCTTGGTCCAAATCTACTCCTGTTCTTCCCTTCCATTTCCGTTTTTGTCCCTCAATATTTGTCTCAGATTACTACCTCCTCCATATTCCCTGGATGCCAGCGGGTGGGGGAAGGTCATTAAGAAAGAGGTTCTTTGCTCTCCAATCTGGGGCTTGCCCCAACACTAAGAACTATGAGAGGATGGAGTGTGCTTTGTGGGGAGCTTTTGTCTGCAAACCTCTAACAAGTGTACGGAGTATATGGAAACTGATTAAAGTTCTACAACTTGGACATTTTTAGGTAGATTTTCATTGGAACAGTAAAAAAATACATCTCTGACACAAAAGCTATCCCTGCCAAATTTCAAATTCCTGCTCCAAAGTATGAGTATGGGAATGCTGCTCAAAGAACAGGTCTCCAGAATGTTGTAATGTTGGCAGAACAGGGTTTTGTTTCAATGCCTGGCAACATTCTTAGTTTGTAATAGAGAGTCGTCATCCTTCAGTGCGTTCAGTTCTCCCTTTGCATACAATGAACTGTGCCTTGGAAATATTTGGGGTTAGCAATTTCATACCGTTCCCAAATGAGGGAGATTGCTGGACCAACAGAAGTGAATTACACCTCTTTGATGACTGACTCCAGGCTCTCCCGGGGTCTATGAGCGGAGGGCTGCCCCAGCAGCAGGGCTCTCCTGGTTCTGCTGCTCTGGGACTGCTGGGGCTCTGCTGCCACCAGGGCTGCTGCTGCCCCCACAATTCTGGGGCTGCTGGGGTTCTGCTGTCTTGCGGCTGCTGGGGCTTCACAGCACCAGGGCTTCAGGGGGTGTCGCAGCCCCAGGACTGCCATTGTCTTCCTCCCTCAGTCCTGGGGCTGCCACAGCACCTGCAGCACCAGGATGAAGCTCAGGCTGCGTTCCGACCACTGGGATCCTAGGGCTCTCTGGTCCAGCAACAGCCATGGTCCTCATGGACCACGGATGTTGCCAAACCAGAGAGTCCCACACGAGAGAGGTTCAACTTGTATTGTCACATTTTCAATTTATGAGACTTTATCAATGAATTAAGGGTAGTTTTCATACCTGGAAATCAAACTAGCAAAGTTAATAAAACTTGTAACTGAAATCTGAGGTTTTATTTTCATACCAGGGAACAGATGTTACAAATACTCCTGCGAATAACAGAAGCTGTCATGCAGAAGCCAAAGGAAAACCAAATAAAGGACATGTTTGCTCAAAGCTTGGCAGGTTTGCTTTTCAGGGTAAGTGCTTTGTTTAGTTTTGTTTTTTGTTTTTTTTGTTAAGAACATGTCAAACTGAAACTGCAATTTTTTAAAGTGTTTTCAAAAGGATGGAAAGTAAATTTCAATAGCAGGTTATTTTACATCAGAAGTGGATTTTTCATGCTATAATATTATGTCATTCTAAAAGGTACAGTTTTTTTCTATTTCACCGTATTACAAAAATTAACATATTCAACCTATAATATATTAACTTGCTAATACAGTACAGGTTGAACCTCTGACTTCTGGGACTCTCTGGTCTGTGTTGCTAGACCAGAGAGCCCCAGCGGCAGAGCTTGCTGGCCGCTGGGAATGGAGCTGTCTGGCAGGGCCAGTGGGACGGTGTAGTTCATGGGCCTGCCCCTGTACAGTCAACTGAGATGGCTGTGGCTTCCAGAGCCCGCAGGGCTGTGTAGCTGGTGGGGTTGCCAGAGCCTTCGGGAGGCTGGGGGGCAGCGGAGGCTGGTGGCTGGTTAGAGGAGCCCAGCAGAGAGGCTGGCACCTTTTCTACCCCCCGACCTCCTCTAGACTGGTAAACTCCCTTGTTAGAGACCAGTCAGGTCTTGAGCGTTTCGGTCCAGGGAGGTTCAACCTATAGTACAGCTTGGGGTATGAGGTAATCTATGCTTTATAGAATGTAGCCACTAGAGGAAGACTTGATCACTTCAGAAAGTCTGTCCAGTATACTTATTATATATATAGTAGCCCAGTGTCTGTGCGTCTGTAACGCTGAAATGCTGGCTGTTCCCTGTGGGTGGCGCTGTTGCCTGAAATGCTGGCTGTTCCCTCTGGGCGGCCCATGCTGCATGGGGAGTGCGGGGCCCAAACAGCCGCTTGATCCCCCATGGCGGCCCGGTTGAGCGGCGCAGAAGTCAGCCGCGTGCCTCAGCGGGAGGCGAAGGGGGGAGGGCAGTGACCTGCAGCATGACAGTAGCTCCAGGCCCTGCCCCCTGGGCCCCGCCGTGGCGCTCGGCTGACTTCTGCACCGCTCAGCCAGGCCGCCTCGTGGGAGCAAGTGGTGCAAGCGACCGTTTGGGCTCCACACCCCTTATGCAGCACGGGGAGTGCGGCGCCCAAACAGCCATTTGGGCTCCGTGGTCCCCCGAGTGAGAGGCAGGAGCGGGAGGATAGAGAGAGAGACGGAGCGAGAGACCGAAGGCTCAGGAGAGAAGACTGACGTGGAGGAGAGACCTGAAAATCCCATCTTATGAGAGGCTAATTGGCTAGTTTATTTTAATAGTCAGACAAACCTGCAAATGTTGCATGTTGTTGTTACAGTATCTGCTTTTGTTACTATTGCAAGGTACAGGATGTACTCAACATTTGCATTTCCTTTATGTTCCCTGATCCCTTATTTGCATGTGCTGGATAGGTTTGTTTAGTCATCATGATAGTTTACTGCTTTCTGTTCGTTTTGCCCCTTTGGAGTCATACAACACTTATTTTCATATAAAATTAACTTGGATGCTTTAATGAAGTGTACTGTAGTCAAGATATGCCCCTTTTGTAGGACAGCTGTATAGTTTCAGGACTACGTAAATAATTGTCTCTAAAATCTCAGCATTTTCTAATTGTTTCCTAAAGGTAAATTAATATGTATCAAGCCAGAATGCTGCATTATGCTGAACCAAAGGAAAATAGTCATAATTCAGCTAGGGAATAGTATATTCTAAGGTATAATAAATATCAATACACCATATACCTCAGAGTTTTTGACTAGCATTATGCTCATCCTGAGGATGTATGGAGGAAATATGCATCTTGTATTTTTTGTCATGCTGATAATTCTCTGTGTCAATGAATTATTCTAGGTTTTATAAATTAAGAGTCTTATGAACAAGTACAGCAGAATTTTTCTGCAAATTTCGATATTTGTCATGAGTCCTTTTTACAACAGTAGATTTCTCTGGCAGAGAAAGAGCGAGCCTCTGAGAATTTATTCAGAATTTATTATCAAGATATATTCATCCCTTCCTTTCACATTAACCAAGATATTTTTTCCCTCTTTTTCTTTGACCTTTCTTCTAAAGAAATCATGAGTCATATTAGGCAGCCTACAAGCTATACTCCAGTTTTCATGAGCTTCCTTCATCGGTAACCTTCACAGCTATTCACTCAGCAAGATTCTTGGAACTTTTTGGATTAATGAAAAATTAAAACATATTGGCTACGTCTACACTGGCCCCTTTTCCGAAAGGGGCATGTTAATTTCACAGGTCGTAATAGGGACCTTCCTTCAAAGTAGGAATAAGAGATCCTCCGGAAAAGGGCTTTTTTCCAGAGGATCGGGCCGGATCGGGGCCAGTGTAGACGCTCTTTTCCGGCTTTTCTAAAAGCCGGAAAAAAGCGGCGGACATTTTTATTTAAATCCCCCGCGGATTTCCCTATTACGACCTGTGAAATTAACATGCCCCTTCCGGAAAAGGGGCCAGTGTAGACGTAGCCATACAGTACTGCATACAGGGCTAAGTTAACTCTTCTGAGCTATTAGATTGGGGGGGCAAAAATTAAGAGTTCAATATGCGGGAGGGAGCTGTGGGTTGAAGAGAAGGGTTGGCATGAAGAGAAGGGTTGGCATTGCTGTGTGGTGCAGGCTCTGCAGTGGAGCTGGCGATAAGTTGTTTGGGGTACAGGAGGGCTCCAGGCTGGGACCAAGGGGTTTGGAGTGCAGGAGGAGGGTCAGGGGAGGAGGTGAGGGGTCTGAGCAGGAGTTAGGATTCGGGAGGGGGCTCAGGTTTGGGGTGTGGGGTCTGGGAGGCAGGATGTTGGAATTGGCTCAGAGTGGGGACAGGGGTTGGGATGCGAGGTCTGGAAGAGGGTTATTGCTGGGACAGAAGGCTAGTTGTGGGGTACTTACCTGGGGCAGCTCCCCTTTGATGCAGGGGGAACAGGTGACTCCATGTGCCCTGCACTTGTTTGCAGGCACATCCCCTGCAGCTCCCATTAGCCATGACTGCTGGCCAATGGGATCAGCAAAGGTGGAGCCTCCAGGTGAGGGCAGTGCAGGGACAGAGAACTTCCCCGGGCACTTGCAGAGTATAATCAATATCTGGGGCAGTACATGGAACCGCCTCCCCCACCCCACCACGAGGAAGGGCTGGCCCAGAACACAGGGATATTAGTGGCTGCAGCCCCCTCTTAATCTGGGGCCCTGGGCTGTGGCCCCAAAAGCTTAGTCCAACACTGATTGCATAATTATCAGGCAAAACAAACCCAAAAAATCCCAGAAGTGCCACCCCAAATATGCTGGAGAAGATGTTTCAGTGATTTACAAGTAAAAACATTATAAGCATGTTCTAATTAACCCCAACTCAAGTGTGTAAACCCAGGAATTCCAAAATTGTTACACTTAATAGAAATATAAATGCACAAAGGTAAAAATGAATAGTGACCCTTAACACCCGGTGTATTGTGAGCCTGTGCAATAACTATAATGATGAATATTAAGGCATTTTCTTGTTTGTCTCAGGCTGAGAAGATGAAACAGATTTTTACAAGCCATTTTATTTTTCTGCTCCTTGCGACATTGATGAAGGACAGAGTTAATTTTGTTTGGATGCCTTACCTGTGTATCTTTATACCCATTTGTGTATTGAATGTCAGAAGCTATTTGACCTCCCTGTGAATAGGCCCTCTTTGTTTTATGTATAAATTGGTCTACTTGGACTCCTATATTGATGAATATATGATAGTCTGTTTCTGATTATTTCAGATTTAGAGAATTCTCTGGTATCAGTCATTCTGTTTATAGTATTTAGACATCAAATCAATCTCTGTGTATTTCTGGATTTACAAGTGAACAGAGTAGCCTCTTCCTTCCTAAAATGATTTTGAAATTCCACCATCAAAGGAGTAATCTTAAATTTATTTGAAAAATATTCTTATAGGAGATTCACAGTGATATTCCCTCTACCAATTTTATTTATATTCTTTATAGTAAGAAATTTTCCTATTGCGTACTTATAAATAAATTAAATTAAATTAACCTAAAGTAATTTAACACATTGTACCACAACATTTTAAGTACCAACATCAGGAATGTTTCAGGGGAATGTGATTCTGAGGATAATTTCTAAATATCATTCAAGTTATATCCATTAAGCCAAATCAAGTATTTTTCTAGAAAAGGAAACAAACAGATGGGAAGGAAACCGAGTCAAAAAATGTAATGCAACTATACTCAGAAATCAATTAGAAAAAAAATAAAAGAAGAACGAGTTAGAGTATTTTTTCTTTTTTTTTTTTCAGAAATAACAAAACACATACAAAAATAGATTTTTCTTTTTGATGATAGAAACATTGCTCAAGGAATAATGCAAAAACAATTGTAACCTTTTATCATCTTTTAATCAGCAGCCTCAGCTTGAAAAATTGGATCTCTAGCACCACCTTCTGGCTATTGTATATTCATTTTGTGCATCAACTCTGCTTTTCTATTATAATTTTGTTCCAAACTGTAGTTTCCACAAACAGGTTCAGTTAGTATCTGCAATAAAAAAGGTTCCTAGTTATTAACTGATGTCACAGTAGAGCCACATCTGAAAAACAGTAGTTATTTAAATGTCAGATTCATATAACTTTGCATTTAATTTCTACTGTCAATTTAATTTTTTTTTAAAAGTTCTATGTTGGAATTAAAGGCTGCTGGGGCTATACTAACTTCTCCAGCCTTTAATTATTTACATTGCGATTAGATTTCTTAAGTGGCATTATTTACTTGAAATCTTAAGTAATTATTTGTTTTCTTCTTTGAGTGATTGTGTATGTGTGTTCCTCTTCTGGTGTACATCACCCCTTCCCCTACACACCATTTCAAAATCTGTTGGATAGCAATGTCCATTGAGACCACTCTTGTGCCCTGAATGCCATTGTATCTTCCCCTTCCACTGGAGAGCATAAAGGGCAAAGCAGGCCCAATCATCCCTCAATTTCTTCTTTCCATTTGTGGCAGCTAGATGGAATCCCTGCATTGTCCACTTTTCTATTCATCTGCAGCTTTGCTGTGCATGCGTGCACATGTGTATACACAAATAATAGTTCGTGTATTTTTCTCCTTTCGTGCCGTTTGGTCGAGAACATTTAAATAAATCCTATTTAGTGTTAAGAACTTGTCTAGTACCAGCACCGTACTATGGCTGAAACCAAGTCCCAAGGGCTCAAAACTTGTCCCTACAGTGATGCAGTTCTTTCACTTAGGGTACATCTACACAGCAGCATTATTTTGGGATAACTAACATTATTCTGAAATAACATAGTGCATGTCTACACTACAAGCCTTTATTTTGAAATAATGTCAAGCCGAAGGACTTCTTACTCCGACTCGTGGTAACCCTCATTTCTTCTTCTAGAGACGTCCCTGTGGTTGCTCCACAGCAGGTGTCAGTGCATCCCAGACTCTTCAGAGCAGTGTGCATGGGGGTGGCACTCACTCTTGGCAAGGGAGGCACGTGCGTGCTCCCCGGGACTCCCCTCCCCCTGCCCTTCATTCCTTTTTACCATCCCCAGTTTAAGATGGAGCTCGGCATTGCTCTTCACTCCTTCGTTAATCCTATAGAGAAGTAGTTACATTTTTGGTATTTCTCACTCAGTTACCATACGCCTTATCTAAGTTTATTTACCTTAAAAAAAAAAAAAAAAACTCCGCTTTTTCTCCAAGTTAATCTCCTACCGTGTGCATTCACTGCAATGCCAGGGTCACCAGGCTTTAAACATTGTTCAGCCTGTAATGACACCCTGCCCGTTCAACAGGACTGCCAGCACTGCGCCAAACTCACGACACGAACACACAGAGACAGGAACCACCACCTGAAAATGATTGTTAGAAAAGGCTCAACATCCCTCCTTGGACCCTGGCACACAAGGTCCTGATAAGATGAGACCTGAAAAGGGGAAAAGATCCCCAAAGAAATGTGCCTCTTTGTTTCCTCACAAGGGGCAGTCGTGTAAGCAGCGCACAACCGAAAGATTGGTACCGAGGGCTGAGAGGCCACCTCACCTCAGTCCTTACAATGCTCTGGGCACTTCCGGCACCGATCAGACCCTCTCCTGGCACATTAACCACAGAGCCCGTACCAAGGCTACAGGCCCTTCTGTCTCTCATGTTTCGGCACCCAGTAACCAGACTGTTGAATGCTCAGCACTGATACCTACTGCCACAGCACAACAGCAACCGTCTTGTGCAGCCTATCGGCACTGTCCCACCACTTAATGATGCCATATTTAGCTCGGCACCACAACCCACATTGGTGCCAACCGCAACCACACCGGCTCTGGTACTGTTCATGGTACCGATGGCCTTGATACCGTCCACCGCGGGACCCCAAGTATTTACACTAGGGAGACCTTGCCATGTTGTCTGTGTTTAATTCTCCATTTCTCAGTGCCAGCAAGTCACCTCCCTCAGCAGTACTGAAACATGTCTCATCACCTATTCTTTTATCCAGTGATGACGACAATGAATAGAGGCTATCATTCTCACCCGTTATCTCCCAGTACCAAAATATCTGTGCCTTCGACTCATCCCAGCTTTTAGGCATCCAGTGAGCATGCCCCCTTGGGATCCACATCCATGGATGCCACTGCCTATGCCTTATGCTGCACAGTAGCAGTACTGGAGAACCATGGACTTATGACTACAAAAAGAGACATTCAGATAAAGAAACATACCCAGCCCGCACCCTCTCCTCCTAACCGTCTTCAGGCGCAGACAAACAGCTCCCTCTCATGTGAATCCTCTACTTTAATCTCTGTCACCACAGAGGAAGCAGCAGGAAACCGCTGATCCATGGTCTCACGAGTTAGGCCCAGACACACCCCAGGTACAGATTCATCCTCCTTGCCTGATGAGGCAGTCATGCCACTGCCTCCAACCATGGCTGATGACTTGACCCCCTTTCAAGATCTCTTTGAGAGGGTTGCAGCTGGCCTGAATATCACAATGTATGTAATCTTTTTTTTTATCAGGCTGGGTGTCCAGGTAGAGAAGGAACTGAGGGGTGGGGGGCCGCGCATACATGGTAGTCCGGAGCAACATCCATGTGCCTCCCCTGCCACTCATGAGCGGCCCCCCATGCACTGCTGTGAATAATCTGGTTTGTGGCACTGGGATGCACCAGAACTAGCTGTAGAGCACCCATAGGGATGCTCATCTTAAAGAACGTAATTTACTGCTAAAGATGAGTAACCTCCTCTTCAAGAGGAGTAAGGGAAGTCGAAGAAAGAGTATACTTCCTTCGACTTCCCACTGTGTAAACTGTGCCAAAAGCCGAGTTAAGCTCTTTCAACTTAAGCTATGTAATTGATGTAGCTGAAGTTGCAAAGCTTATTCTGAGTTTAGCCCTGCTGTTTAGACACACCCTTAATGATGGGCAACTGAGTTGCCTTTTTTGGAGCAAGACACGTGCGTGATAAATGCTCAATCTGTTATTCCTTCTCCAGGTGGATACAGAATGTAGAAGTGCTCTCAAAGAGCCTCCTCAGAACCGGAGAAAAAATGCCTACCAGGCCTAATCAGGTTTCCACAGGAAGTGCTCTTGAAAGTAGCAGCTCAGATCCAAGATCATCAAAAAGTTCAGACCCTTTAACAATCAGAGCAGTAGGGCAGCTAAGTCTTTGTCTACGGAGTTATCCAAAAGAAGTAGGAATGAATGTAATTTCCACAGCGAGTGCAGGCCTGGATTACTCTTACTGGAACATAGATGGAAAGGGAGGGGAACTACTTACTCCTTTCCATTTCTCCATTCCATGGATACATATCCTGACCATCTCCTTCTCCCACACAGAATTAAGTCCTGATACGCTGCTGAAATAAGGGGGCATTATTGCTGCAGAATTTTGTTAGCTGCTACTTTTTTAACTCCCATGAAACTTTGATTTATGTTTTGTAGTTCTTAATCATTTTTCAGTAACAGCCTCAGGAAGTGGCATCCTCTGAAAGTAAAGAATAACAAAGAAAAAATTCTCATTTTAATGTCTGAATTGAAAATGTTATAAGCTGTTAAATATGAGAAATTCATTTGGTCTTTGGAAATCTGTTTCCAAATTTTTAATTCTATGCTTTTTAGAAATGTACAAAATGTCATTGCTTTCCTATTTCCCAGACTCTTATTGTGGCTTGGATCCGAGCAAATCTGAGTGTGTACATTTCTCGAGAACTTTGGGATGAACTGCTCAGCGTACTATCTTCCCTTACTGACTGGGAGGAACTGATAACTGAATGGGCCAACATCATGGATTCTCTAACAGCAGTGTTAGCAAGAACGGTGTATGGGGTTGAAATGACTAATTTACCACTGGATAAATTAAGTGAGCAAAAGGAAAAAAAACAAAGAGGCAAAGGTAAAGTCTCTCTTCTTTAGTGCATTTTATATTAAACAAATTAAGATATTCATTATGGTTCTTTACATAGTGCAAAGATGCCTTTGAAAAAATGCACTCAATTTTACTTAGTATTGTTGCATGCAAAAATATCGAGCATCTGGTCTAGTAAGATACTTACATCGATCTGTTTTTATAAAAACTATTTTTAAATATGGATGGGTATTTAGTGCTTAACCAGTCTCTACTGTAGTAGTAGGAAAAAAGCATGGCTATTTGTATTGAAATTTGTGCATAAACACCAACTCTTGAATTCCTTTTTAATGTAATTTAATTGTATTGCATTTTATTTTAATAAATCTGTTTATGTAAGAGTCTGGGGGCCAGTGGACGATTTTGTGTGCAGTCTTATAAATCTTAGCACCACTAATGTAGCAATTTACAATAGTTAACTAATTGAACTGTCTTGGTAAACATGGATGGAGCTCTGTGAGGTAGATAAATGCAATTCCCATTTCCCAGGTGGTAAAGCTAAGGTAAAAAGACCCAAACTCAGACCCTTTCCCCTGCACTAACCCTATTATGCTGGGTATAAAGTCCAGAGCAGTACAGAAAGCCCCTGTAGGCCTATAACTAGCCCCGGGACTATTCACCTGGCACAGGCACTGCAGAAGATGGTCTTAAGGACTTATTCACAAGCCAAGGGGTGGGACTGATGCCAGGATGAGCATGTTTGACAGGAGTGGTGATACAGTACTGCAGTGATGAAGCCCATAGAGTAGCCACAGGAGGTTAGCATCATTTAGGCAGACCCCTACAGTTGTCTAAATTATACCAGAGGCCTCTAGCCCTTGAAGCAACTCAGGATCAGGAAGGTACAAAGGTGACTTAGGCCTGGTTTACACTGGGAGTTTAGGTTGAACTTAGCCACATTCGATCCATTTTCTAAAGTCTACACCACCACTGTCAACTTTAAGGGCCATTAAAGTCGATTTCAGTACTTCTGCTTTTCATGAAGAGTAACAGTAAATTCAGCCTTGCATGGTAGAATTTAGGGTCATGCAGATGCAGCACTGTGAAAGCCAACATTCTGGGCTTTTGGGAGATGCCCCACTGTGACTGCTCTGTCCAGGATTTTCAACTGCTCAGGAAAAGCCCCAGGAATTTTGAATTTCATTCCCTGTGTGGACAGGATGGCAAGCAGACCTCTGAGCAGGCAGCACACCTCAGCAGCACACCTGACCATGAATGCCCAGGGTTACACCAAACATGGAGCATGCAGGAGATTCTGGTCCTCATCGAGCATCTGGTCTAGTAAGATACTAGAGGAATAGAATGTGTTCTCTCAGAAATACAAACCAGCAGAAGAAATGCAGGTATCTGTGCCAACATGGTAAAGGGCATGGAGGAGAAAGGATACACCAGGGACACCCAGCAGTGCCACATGAAAATAAAGGAGCTGAGGCGGTCGTACCAAAAGACAAATCGGGCAAATGGACAGTCTGGGTCAGCGCTGCAAACAGCCCACTTCTCTGAGAAGCTGCATGTGATCTTGGAGTAGGGGACCCAACCAGCTTCCCTAGTCAGTCTTTGGATTCCTCCCAAGACACTCAGGCAACCTCTGTCAGTAGTGTGGAGGACAGCGTGCATAATGATGATGAGGAGGATGGTCAGCAGGTGAACAGGGCAATAAGGTCACCAAGAGCCAAGAACTCGTTATAACTTTGGAGACAATCCCCTTCTCTCAGGATGTCTTACAGCCAGGCATCGATCAGGGGAGGGCACTTCTGGTGAGAACACATTTTTTATCTTGCTACAAATGGTTTAAGGCAGTTGGGTGAGGTCTGTGGTAGCCACTGTGCCTACCCACCAGGAACTCCCCAGAACAGCTTGTTAACGTGTCTGGAGATGGAATGGGAATCCTCCCTGTACATTTCCATAAAGCTCTCATAGAAGAACTCTTTAATGCTGCTCACAAGGTTTCTTGTCTTCTTTTGTGCTCCGTGGTAGGACACCTTATCTCACCAAGCCAGAAGTAAGTGGTCTGGTGTCATTGCAGCACAAAGCTTTGCAGGTCCAGGTCTCTGGCCCCATTCAATCAGCATCCACTCCTTATCACTTTGGAGAAGTGATTTGGAGAAGGCTGATATCGCAGAAGGCAACCTGGGTGAAGCAAGGGAAGCGATTAATTGATGCCTCTGCAGTAAACCTCTGTTTGCTCATCCCCAATTTAGCATGGTGTGAGCCCCTGCCCTGCTGCCACTCCTGGACCCTCTTCCCCCTCCCATCTGTATGCTCTTGTGAGAAGGGAAAGTTGCACTCTCCCAGCAAATGGAGGGTGATGAACACACAGCCATCACGTGAGTCCCTGCCCAGCCTTGCCTTGCTGCCATGCCCGGAACCTCTCCCTCCTGCAGGCTCCAGCCCTTGCCTGTCCCGTACCATACCTGCCACCAAAGCGAGTTCAGCTTTTCCCTTAAGATCTCTAAGGCATACCTGCTATATAGTGGGTGCTTTAAAGCAAAACTGAGGCCTTGTACATAATACACCCTTATTGTCTTTAGGCAGACCTTCCTTTTATGTTAAGAGATTTGGTTTTACACTTAACAATGTATTTCTTGTTAAGTTTGCCCTTTACTTTTTATTACAGCAGGTGTAGTAGTGAGCATGCTGCACACTCCCCTGGCTCTGCCAACTGTCTGGCTAGCACACATTCAAAGGCAAAATTGTGCTAGGGAGGACATGTTCTTCAAGGAGCAAATGCAATCCACCCACTTGGGACAGGGAGCAATTAAGTGAGTGGAGGAATACGCTGCTGTAGGAGAGAGGCGAGTGGACTGTGAGGACCAGAGAGCATGCAGGGAACTGAAAGTGAAGAACCAGGAGAGAGTCTTGATGGTCATGGCAGATGTGATGACCTGCATGGCGCTCTTCCACATTCATAAGCACCTCTCCAGACCTTGCAGACCCTCATTCCCTCCCCAATGAGTTTCATAGCCTCCTTTCCCAGGGACTGTAGAAGGTCCCCGAGGAGGGAGGGGGAGAAGGAGAGGAAGTGAGGGAACAGGAGGGAGTCAAGTGCAGCCACACACTCAACTCCCCATGATGCATTCTGGAGCAAAAGGCTTTCCTGCTCTCACCTGTGATCAGCCCCCTGCCCTGAACTCTTTTTCTGTCACTGCTGTGTTCCCTAAATAAAAACACATTGGCTGTGTCTACACTGGGCCACTTATTCCGGAAAAGCAGCTGCTTTTCCGGAATAAGTGGCCCAGTGTAGACACAGCCAATGTGTTTTTATTTAGGGAACACAGCAGTGACAGAAAAAGAGTTCAGGGCAGGGGGCTGATCACAGGTGAGAGCAGGAAAGCCTTTTGCTCCAGAATGCATCATGGGGAGTTGAGTGTGTGGCTGCACTTGACTCCCTCCTGTTCCCTCACTTCCTCTCCTTCTCCCCCTCCCTCCTCGGGGACCTTCTACAGTCCCTGGGAAAGGAGGCTATGAAACTCATTGGGGAGGGAATGAGGGTCTGCAAGGTCTGGAGAGGTGCTTATGAATGTGGAAGAGCGCCATGCAGGTCATCACATCTGCCATGATCATCAAGACTCTCTCCTGGTTCTTCACTTTCAGTTCCCTGCATGCTCTCTGGTCCTCACAGTCCACTCGCCTCTCTCCTACAGCAGCGTATTCCTCCACATCGAGCATCTGGTCTAGTAAGATACTTACATCGATCTGTTTTTATAAAAACTATTTTTAAATATGGATGGGTATTTAGTGCTTAACCAGTCTCTACTGTAGTAGTAGGAAAAAAGCATGGCTATTTGTATTGAAATTTGTGCATAAACACCAACTCTTGAATTCCTTTTTAATGTAATTTAATTGTATTGCATTTTATTTTAATAAATCTGTTTATGTAAGAGTCTGGGGGCCAGTGGACGATTTTGTGTGCAGTCTTATAAATCTTAGCACCACTAATGTAGCAATTTACAATAGTTAACTAATTGAACTGTCTTGGTAAACATGGATGGAGCTCTGTGAGGTAGATAAATGCAATTCCCATTTCCCAGGTGGTAAAGCTAAGGTAAAAAGACCCAAACTCAGACCCTTTCCCCTGCACTAACCCTATTATGCTGGGTATAAAGTCCAGAGCAGTACAGAAAGCCCCTGTAGGCCTATAACTAGCCCCGGGACTATTCACCTGGCACAGGCACTGCAGAAGATGGTCTTAAGGACTTATTCACAAGCCAAGGGGTGGGACTGATGCCAGGATGAGCATGTTTGACAGGAGTGGTGATACAGTACTGCAGTGATGAAGCCCATAGAGTAGCCACAGGAGGTTAGCATCATTTAGGCAGACCCCTACAGTTGTCTAAATTATACCAGAGGCCTCTAGCCCTTGAAGCAACTCAGGATCAGGAAGGTACAAAGGTGACTTAGGCCTGGTTTACACTGGGAGTTTAGGTTGAACTTAGCCACATTCGATCCATTTTCTAAAGTCTACACCACCACTGTCAACTTTAAGGGCCATTAAAGTCGATTTCAGTACTTCTGCTTTTCATGAAGAGTAACAGTAAATTCAGCCTTGCATGGTAGAATTTAGGGTCATGCAGATGCAGCACTGTGAAAGCCAACATTCTGGGCTTTTGGGAGATGCCCCACTGTGACTGCTCTGTCCAGGATTTTCAACTGCTCAGGAAAAGCCCCAGGAATTTTGAATTTCATTCCCTGTGTGGACAGGATGGCAAGCAGACCTCTGAGCAGGCAGCACACCTCAGCAGCACACCTGACCATGAATGCCCAGGGTTACACCAAACATGGAGCATGCAGGAGATTCTGGTCCTCATCGAGCATCTGGTCTAGTAAGATACTAGAGGAATAGAATGTGTTCTCTCAGAAATACAAACCAGCAGAAGAAATGCAGGTATCTGTGCCAACATGGTAAAGGGCATGGAGGAGAAAGGATACACCAGGGACACCCAGCAGTGCCACATGAAAATAAAGGAGCTGAGGCGGTCGTACCAAAA